GGGGAATATAATTTTAATTCTTCTCTGTACTGTTTAGTACTTTTAGGCATCTTACTTGCATACATGCTGTTACGAATTTGATTGAGCTGCTGCCCATTGTGTGTAATAGGAGGTTTTCTGAGGTGTATCACCTCATGAACAAAACGAACCACACTTCTAAGAGGTCAGTCACTTTCCTGACTGGCTGACATTCTCATTTAACTACACTTTCTGCTCTGTTTCTCCTTAACTATAAACTCCTGCACCATTGGTCACACAAACTGTACTAATAGGGCTTCACTGTGCACTTACTGAGAGCGGGGCATAACTCCTGATTTTATTGGCAAATAATGAGACTAATAGTGAAGGTTAATATAAAAATAAGTCAGATTAATAGATAAGTTTATTATATTCTAGTCTTAAATAATTCTCTGCTATCAATTTGTGGGTCAGTCTGTATGCAGTGAAAATATAGATTAACTTAAATTTGGCGTTTTTCTGTAATGTGTACACAGGATCCAAAATGAAAGTCTTCATACCCTCTTAATGAAACCTCTGGAAGAACTTGAGAGCAATTTATAAACAATGCTGCAGGAGTTGGGTTGAATAAATGCTGCTGGGTTTTCTATTCAGTTTGTTAGATGATGGCAATTTGAAATACAATAAACTGAAATACAATAATGAGTCTATTGGTCAGTGACCTGCCAAAAATGTTTTTATCTGCCTGAAGATAACTGCACGTAGCTGCTTTTGTGTTTGGCTTGCTGCATGGAGGACTTGCTTGAAACTTCATATATGGGGTTTTTGTTTTATTTTGTTTTGTTTTATTTTTACAGGAACGTACAGAAAGAAGATCGGGTTCCAATGCTTGATGAGTACAGGGAGTACAAGAAAATCAAAGCCAAACTGAGGCTGTTAGAAGTCCTTATCAGCAAACAAGATTCTTCAAAGTCGATTTAAATGCTGTTTCTCCAAGTCGCTGAGTAGCACGCTGTTTCCCTGTACTACCGCTGTACTTATTGGGTGCTTGTGTTCATTTGTCATGCACTGTCGAAAGAATCCCCTTTGTGCACTTTACTGTGGTGCCACTCTTAACGTGTCGGAAGGGTAAGTAGGTCCTGCCTAGAGAGCGAGTAAGATTTCGAAGTTTGAGGCTGCTTTATCCAACTTTAGCAAACACAGTTTCCATCAAAGTTTTGTATTACAGACACACCCGTCTTGTTCCAAAACAACCATAGCTTTTTTTTTTATTTTTAGCGTTCAAGAACTTCGAGACTTTTGTTATTACCAACTCTTTGCATTATTGGAGAAGTTATTAATACCATAATGCTACACTGAACTACTCCTCTTGCCTCTTTGCTATTATGGGGGGAAAAAAGTCAGCAAACCAAACGCACAGCTCTTTTTTCTTGGAACCTTTAAAAAACCAGACTGAAATTCCTGTCAGAGGACTGCTGTGGAACAACTTTAATTTTTGGTATTCTAAATTGCACCTAGAACACAGTAATAATTAACATCTGTGGATTTTGTTCGTTAATGGTCACATTTCCTCCTTGATAAAGAATGACAGTGGACAAACCAGAAAGTGACCTTGCGTAGTTTCTTTAAAAACTTGGAAAACTGAAAAGTTCTATCACATGCTGCCTGCAGGACTTGCGTTACTGTTGTTCATTTTGATCATTTTATCGGTTAATTGTTTATCGACTAGCGGTGACATAGTGTTTTGTCTGAATTGGATACTGCATCTCCACTTTCGGAAGATCTGAGGAACGTTAATGAACATTTCAGTGTGTGGGAAACGTGACGGTGCTCAGACTTGCGTAGCTCCAGCAGGAAAGAGCTGGCTTAGGACAGTTAAAATTCCGCTGTACCCGACATAAGTATGGTTTCAAGGGCTAAAATAGTGTAGTTAATGCACACCACGGGGTGAGCTGTCAGTTTGGAGTGAAAAAAAATTACTGCTGTTTATCATGGTTTTTGTTTTACAGTTGGAGAATAAAAATAAGTTACCTAACCCTTATAATGTAAGCAAAACAGTTTATGGGCCTTGCATGATTTAGCTTCAGAGTTGAAACTAATGTTTTGAGTATCACATCTGCTGTGCTGAATGATGATTTAGCTACTAGCTTTCTGCTCTGCAACAGCCATCAGCAGCTGGGTTTGATCTGGCAAAATCTTGTGTTAATTTTACCTGGTGCTTTCTCAGTTTTTTTCCTTTTTTTTTTTTTTTTTCTTTCTTCAGTGAATCGGTTTGATTGTGGCCATGTTTTGCATGCACCTATTCTCACTGCATGTTTTTATGACTAGCTAATGTCAACAGAGCTGTTACCCACACTGCTTTATGGAAGACCAAAAATGAACTTTCTCACAACGTAAGAAATGGCTAGCATGTAACCTCATAGGCTTGCTGTTCTGTCATGGAGCATAGGAAATAGGCTGAAAGTAGGATTTTTAGTGCTCAGATTTCATCTGCGTACTGTAGAATACTTCTTGTTTTCTTTGATTCTGCTTGTAGGCATGTAATTTTGGAATTCAGGAAAAAAAAGCACTAAAACTATTGAGCACTGGTGGTATGCCTTTATTTTTTTTTTTATTTGTTTGTTTGTTTTTAACTGCAAAATGATCTGGGACCTTAAGAGAATTATGAGGTTGAACTAGTCGTGAGACCATTTCTCGATTTGATTCAGTTCCGTTGTGCAATGTACACTTCAGTTCCTTTTCTATCAGTCTGCAGACACGGGTGTATCCAAACATTGAAACTAATGTGTACTGTATAGTGTTGTACATGAATGTTTGTGTTTTATATACCACATGCAAAATGTCAATATGCACTATTTAAATGTTTTAAATAATATATTCCTCCTTTATAATGCTTAAATCTATATGATTCCAATATTTTTATAAGTGAGTGAGTGATCAGACTGGTTCCAATTCAGAATTAACAGCTGCTTTGTGTTCGTTATGCAGTGTTTGGCTGTTTATTCAGTATAGTAGATAAGCATGGCAACAGTTATGCCGAGTGTGTTTTGTGCCATCCTTGTTGAGCAATAAATAAATGGTAGAACTAGGCATTTTGTGATATAACAGTTTTACTTTGGTAAAAGCAAAACCTATATATCTATATGGATATATAGATATGGAATATATATAACTAAACCAGATATAATTGCATTGCTATGTCTGGTGCTCATTGTATAGACTTTTATAATAAAAGTACCTTAACCTTTATTGTCATACATCTTCGTTGCTCATCGTGCTTTCTCCTCCACTGCCGTCACTTAAAACCAAGCGCCGAATCCTTTGCTGTCCCTGTACGTATTTTGAGTTTCATGGTGTTGCTGAGGTGGATCCCATGGATCCTTGTTGGGGCCTGGCTGCTGAGAGAGCCCTTGATAAATGAAATTGCGGCAGCTTAAGCCTTGTTTGACCCGTTTAGACTGTGCCTCTCAGCAGAGACCGTGAGGAAGTGACCAGATCAGCCCCTCAACTGTCAGTTCAGCTTACGGGGCGGCTCGGTTTGTGGCTGGAAAATGCTGTCCCTGCAAGCACTTCTGTAAACATAAGAGGATGCTTTTCTTCTGAACCAAATAGAATTTATTTTTTCTCATAATATGTTGATGTAAGTTCATATGAAAAGTGATCAAGGTCTTTCAAGCTGACTTACCTGTTGTATTTTGTGTAAATCCACCTTTCTTGAGCCTAAGGCCAGGCAGGGGACAGAAGAACCAAAGGTGAAGACTCTATCTGTGGGTGTGTGGCAGTGCAGGTAAATGGGAACAAGAGAAACAACTTGAAGGTTGAGGGAGCAAATGAGGGAAAAAGAGACAGAAGGCAGCCTTCACTGTGTTCTTCAGAGACAGAATAAAGAGGGTTTATTGTGCCTTAGCGGAGCAGAGCGTGTTTAAGAAGTGCTTGAAGGCTCTTCCGTGAAGTTCTGGGTAAGTAACTGTGTGTGAAGTTTTTGAGACTTGTTTGTACAAGAAGGGTTGCCAGGAGGAGGACAGGTTGGAGATGCCGAAGGTGCAATACATCTGCTTTCCTGCCTGTCAGGCTATTGAGTAATCAAAATAAACAGATCATCCGTGACATAACCCTTTCCGGGACAGTGTCCTGTGATGCTGCATAGCAACAAGAACCCTTGGGAAGCAAAGGGAAGAGGTGTTTTATTTTAAACTGGTCCCTTTTAGAGGAAAGAGGATGGCTTGGCTTGCCTGGGAGTTTGAAGTCCAAAATTGGCGAACCCCGACAGGCAAACAAGGTGCTGCTGAGCTGAAGTTACCTCTTTCTGGGTCCCTTCAATACTTGCCTGCTCCCTTCTCCCTGACACGGCTTCTCCACACCGTGATTTGACGAAAAGAGCCCTCAGAGTGCGTAGTAGCTTGACAGTGCTCTGCAGGCCGTAAGGCTTTATAGCGTTGCGAATCCTTGCGGTGTTGTAAATCCGAGCTCGGGGCGTTTCTGGGGGAGTCAGGCCGGTGCGAAGTTGAGGCAAAGCACCCTCTAGTGGTTCCAGCTGGTACAGCCTGATCAAAATTAAGAGTGTCCTTTTTTTTTTTTTCCCCTGAATCTTTTTTTTTCCTGAAGGCAACAGTAACCTGTTTTGGAAGCGACAGGTGCCTGGAACAAGAGTTGTTGAGAAATAAGCATCACTCTTGGCGGCAGATGTGGCGAGTGGTGTGGGGCTGATGCCCTGGGTGCTGGCCTGTGCTCAGCGATTGAGGTAGGGCCAGTGATGGAGAGAAGGACACAGAGCAGGCCCAGGATGCTGCGCTCCCTTGGTTACACATCTTGTGTCTCACAAGCAGCCCCAAAATTAAGCAGAGGAGTAAACGTTCAGGCATTTGTAGAGATGACCAACCAAAACTCTAGCAAGGTTTCTCAGTAGGTAAAGCACCTGAAACTCTTGGAGAAAAGGCCCAGAAGCAACAATGAAATATACCTTTATTAACGTTCCCACTTCTTTTATCCAGAAATAAAAAAAATAAAGGGGGGGATACTTTGGATTTATTTAAACTGTATGGTCAGACTGTGCTGTCATGCTGCGAAGCATCGTTCAGTCGTTGTACGCTTCTCATAACTCTCTTGAGTTTTGCATTGCTCTTATTAAATTCCACCACCAGCTCGGCTGTATACCTCAAGAGCCTAGAACACACAAATAAAGCCACATATCCCTGAGATGGTGCTGCCCTTCACCTTGCATTTGTAGCCTGCCTCTTTGCTGCCTTGTGTCAGCTGCTGAGGGTCTAAGTCCTGAAATACCCCTTCACAAGAGCAAGGCCTTACAGTCCCTGTCCCCTGCCCTGGGCAGCCACAGGGAGATGTTCTGAAGGAGTGACAATACCTTAAATTCTTGTCCCACCTCATTCCTGACTAATGTCCTTCCAACCTGCTCTTATTAATTCTTTTGGTTTCCTTCTTCCCTCTCTTATACTGGCTGGCAACAGCTGCTCTAAGTGCACTTAAAATATCTTAAAATCGCTGACTTTGTGTTGATCTTCTGTCTCTCAGGTTGTTGCTTGGTAAGGGTTTCCGCTAGGGCCACAGTCTGCCTGAGGATGGGAACACGATGGCCAAGAACAGACTCGTACACTTACTGTTGGAATTCTGCGTGGGACACATAGCTCTGGGCTGTGGATGCATCCATGTCCTCAGTAGATGGATACTTCTGGTGATGTTCTTCTTCCTCTTCCTGTCGTTTTGATAAATTCAGGTGGCTCTATTCAACATCAGAGGGATGTTAAAAAAAAAAACCCAAACCAAAAGCCCAGTCAGTCAGCCTGGCTCACAAGGACACCTGTAACACAGTCCCTCTTGCAGGGAGGAGGGAGCATGCAAGAGCAGAAGGTATAGGCAGCTCTGGGGAGAAGAATGTTCTCCATCTGAAAGTACGTTTTCCTTCTGGCCTTTCCCAAAGGACACGATATAGTAATACACTTCTTTCAGAACTGAGAGAAACTGCAAGCACTGTATGTAGTGGTGTTTACAGCTACCAAGGGGCTTTCCCCCTCTTGTTGTAGAAGTGATTTTTTTATAAATTATGTTTTAGAAGTACTTGCACAGGCTTACTCGAGACAGGGCACTACCAAAGACTGCTTGAAACCTTTCTATAAAGCAAAAGGAACATACAGTAATCTTGCTGTAGATGCATTCTATGACCCAAAAGATTGCTCTAAAACTTGTTTTCTGTACGTTTGCTTCTGTTTAACATTTGGGCAAGTGCCCAGCTCACAGTTTTCTATCATTGCTAAGACACATTGATCTCGCCTTACTACCAGCTCTGCTGTTGCAGTGTATGACCTTGCCTGAACAGGCTTTTTATTTGAAGTTTTGGGCATAATCAGTGACTTATCTTTATTTATAGGTCTAGCTTTTGCTACTCCTATGATGTTAAAAATAGCATCCTGTGGAGAAATAGCTTTTGTAAGTATCAGTGGGGACAACTGCGACTCCTTTTGTATTATTTGACTTCGAAACTGCTCGTTATATTTCCACATAATTTAGGGAAGAATAATGCCTACCTTTTCACTAGCATTGTCTCCGCTGGAAAGCTTGGAAATATCCTTTCTTTTTGTAGATGGAAATTCCCTGCTTGTCATTCGCACAAATGAGAAGAGAGAAAAGTCCTGTGAGAATAGGCCAGTGCTCGGTGTGGGGGGGAACAGAAAATGCTGAGATGGTACCTTGCCAAGCTCTCTCCTGCTGGCGTTGGATCCATCTCTGGTTTCTTCAGCTTCAGCTTGACAAGGGCCTCATTGCAGCTCTGAACATAGGCAGGGAAAAGGTCGGGCATGTTAAATGGCTTGTGTTTAATCAGAGATGCTTTCACACGAGGACTTGAACGCAGGGAACGAACTGTCAGCATAAAGCCTTGGCAATTAAACAGAAATCCCACCTGGCTGTCACTTTCTTTGTTCCCTTAGCTTAGCTCAGAGAACTTAACATGCTCTATCTCAAATTTGTCATGAAATTCCTGAAGGTAATAACCAACCAAACCCAGTAACAATTTCTGTTCTCAAACATATTCGGTTTATTCTTGCTCTAGTCCCAGATAAGTAGGAGAATGAGCTCAAGTCGGGGAATCTAAGCTGTGCTGGTGCCAACCAGACTAGCTGTACCCTGGCCAGAGACTCCCTTTTCCTTAGTGAAAACTGGGCTTGGCAGAAACCGTGTAACCTGTGTCTACGCCACTGATAAAATCCTGCAGGAAAATTTCAGGTAGGTAGGGCTGCCAAGCCCCCCTCTGCAGCAGGGTCAGTGTACGCTAACTTGGAGAAAGCTGTGTGGATGCGCAGGTCCCTTGTTCCACACCCCGTCTCGCTCTTACTTATCTCGCTGGTGATGCTGGATCTCCATACAAAGTCAGGTTTCCAGGCAGAGGTACTCACTTGTCCCAGCAACAACTGCCTGCAAGCTCTTGGGCTTCAGTGCGTGCATTTGGCAGGGAAGGAGGACGTCATGATTTTAAATTGAGCTGAGAAGTTAGGGAAGGGCTCATTTCCCTTTTGTACTAATTTCTGGCATGTAAAAAGAGTCTGAACTTTCGGGAGTCTTAAAGGCACCCATTTCTCCTTGTTTTGTCTTCCCACACAGAGAAGATCTTTAGTTTTTCAGTTTGGTAGAGCAGCAACAGTAAACGCTGAAGCAAGCTGGTGATGGGTTATCTCGTAAACTGGGCTGGGCTTGAATATTGCTTTCAAAAGGATGGTGTAAAGGCAGGCTCCTTGCACCCTAACTCATGTGCTACTCTTAGCATTAGGAGCTCCAGTGAGTGTGATGGAAGGATGTCTCTGTATGTGTCAAGTATTTGTTTAAAGGGAAAAATAAAATACTGGGTGTTCATCAAAGGGTTATGTCCCAGCTGTTTGCGAGTGATGTAGCTCAGAATTCCTCCTCTTACCTTGGATTAAATGAGAAATGCTTACTTACCTTTCTAATGAGGTCTCTGATCTTAAGCTCTTGGCTGGGTGTTGCTTCAAATTCTGCTTTGACTGCTGAGTAGGAGTCATTTAAAATAGCCAAAAACATGTTCTGCAAAGGAAAGATGCAGTTAGGTATGTGTTTCGGGAAACTGCTGGGGCTGTTTTTGGAATTGAAGAGCTTTGTTGTGTGCAGCCATGCTCCTAATGCAGTTACATTATCTAACAGTCTTAGGGAATATTGTGGGCAGACAAATCACTTATTTCCCATGGGCAATATCAGCTACAAGGCCCAGTTCCTTCGAGGTACGGGATTTTTTGGCGTAACTTGTAGCTTTTTCAGCTGGTGTTTCAATCTGAAGTAATTCATGGAAACATCAATCTGATGAAACAAACTTGCACCTACACAGCCCCATCAAAGCCTCTCTTTAACCTTCTTACCTGACAGGGCTAACATTACACAGTTCAAGAGCACCCAGCTAAGTTTTCAAAAATTAAAACCTCAAGAAATGGGTGGTGCAGCAGAGTGAAAGGGGCGACGTGCTAGTTTTGTGGTGCAAAAGCCCATTTTGTGGCTGTTTGGAGAAAGGGGGAGCTGTGAAATGTCTTCCCTGCTGGGAATTCCTGCAAAAAGACTTCCGACTCTGCCCCGGTGTCCTGAGAGGCAGCCGAGGCGAGCCCAGGGTCATCTAAGGGTGAAAGCCAAGCTCCCAGCACTGTACATCAGTCCTTCTCTACTGCTTATGCAATAAGATAAGAGTTTTTAAGATGAGACCTACCAGCAGGATGAAGAACACAAAGAATACAAATGTGATGAAGTAAATAGGTCCAAGGATTCTGTTTGCCTCTTCTATGGCTTCAAAATCAAAATCTCCCAGTATGATACGGAACTGTGTAAAGCTGGGAGTAAAAGAATAACCAAGATGAAGTTGACTGGCTTCTGCTAAAAACAAATAATGTAAGCACTATTTGAAAAAAAAAAAAAAGTTAATAGATACAATTGAGACTGGTTCACCATTACCTGAAAATCAAAAGGCAAGCTGGGATAATAGAGTAATGGTAAATTTGGGCATTTAGTATGTATTTGAGAATTTGGAGGTATAAAGGATTTTTTTAATAGCTTATATGAGAAAATACTTAAATTTTGGATAAATAATCTGGTTTTGGTCAGTTGTGTTTTTAAAAATTATTTCCCTTCTGTTCTAGTTTTATGATCCCTTACCTTGTACTAACAAACCACGTTAAGGCTTTGGGAAATGGATCATAGGGCCAACAAAATTGGTTTTGCTTTATGAAATAAGCTTCAGTGTTGGAGACCTGTATTTAAGTTGGCTTGTACCTGCACCAATTGGGAGTTTTGTACCAAAAAGTTGAGAAAGTATCATACATGCAGTTCTGGAAAGTGGAAAAGTCTTCAACTTGCGACCCAAAGACCAGGTAGCCTAACTGGGCATAGGCAAAGAAAACGATGAAGAACATGATGGCAAATCCAACGATATCTTTGGCACAGCGCGATAAAGTGCAGGACAGCTGTGTCATGGTTTTGTTAATGCTTATGTATTTAAATATCTGCAAGAGAACAGAACCTGTTGTTATCGGAGGATCAAAATATATTGCAACTTCTTAACAAAACTGCTGGAATGTTATCTGTGCCCATAATTTATAAGTTAAGTCTTACCTAGAAATAAGTCGCACGGTATGTAGCTGTAAGAACTAGGACTGAGTGTTTCTGGAGAAGCTGGGGCAAACAGGCTCTACGTGCTACAAGTAATCATGTGTGGGCAGGTCTTTGCTGGGAACTGGTGTGTGTCACCAGCTTTGGTCCAGGCAGCTTCGAGCCGTACCACCGTCCTGCCTCTGAGGATTCCCTGACAGCCTGAGCTGGTAAGGAGCTCTATTTACTTTGGATCTGAACAAAAGCCTTGCTCCATGGCAGTTGTTAATTCTAAATGCAATTAAGAGTCATCGGCCTGAGAGGAGATGATGCGGGGGGGAACGTGTAGCTGGGGCCCAGAATGGGCACAGGAGGAAGGCTGCCCACACAGCTGGTTAACGGCCGGCACTCCCCAACAGCTGCTTCTGCGGCCTCGGCCTGGGAGGTGCAGGAAAGCCAAAAGCCCATTGATTTTAAAAGGATGTGACCTCTCATGACACTCCAAGGTCAGGTACTGGAAGCATGACCCTAAAGCAGGTTTTTTTTCTGGCAGATGTAAGCACCTTCCCTGCCTGTTTCTCAGCCACTTTGTGCCGGGCGTTTTACAAAGGGTAGAGGGGGCCTGTAAGCAGCCTGGGATCAGGCAAAGCTTTGGGAACATTCATCACCTAAACCACAGCCACTGCTGTCTGCTGGGGGCAGAGCCCAGCAGGGTTTGGTAGATGAGGGGCAGTGGCAGGTGAACAGGCAAGACTGGTTTGGCACCAGAGCACCTGGTTACAAGTAGCCTGTAATCTTAGTCTGCTACTCTGTCCAGAGATCACAAACTCTCTTTGCAAATAAAAACGAAATTAAAGGTATCCTGGCAAAAAGCCACTTGTGAATCAAGTTCAGAGGTGTTTTGCCTTCAGTTAAAAAGTAGCTACTTTCTTCATCGCTTTTGGCTGCAAAAGCTCTCAATAGCTTCACCTATTAGAGCCCTATGTTTGTATAGGTCAGGCTGTGACCTGCATAATACTGGGTCTAGGAAAAGACTGAGTTTGGGGAGGCTATTTGGCCGTGGTAATTTCCCAGCTGCTCCAGTGGAGACAGCTGCCCACATGCAAATTTTGTTTTTTAGACAGGCTTGGAATTTGTGTGACCCGTGTTTAGGAGGAGGAGGTAATTTTAAACTCCTCTGGAATCTTACAAACAAAATTCTGCCTTTTAGCCCCGCCTTTGCAGTCCACCTATGAAAAGGTAAAAATTGAACATTTGTGATATGCTTAGAAACACTATGATTCTTGAATACGTTAAAAAAAAGGGAATAAGAGCCTATACCTTTATCCAAGCAAAGAAGATGTTGACAGCAATCATGTTGTTGTAAAGGACTTGCCAGAACGCAAGGAAATAGAAGTCTGGGTATGCATGGGCATCAGCCAGCAGCTCTTCCATCAGCAGGGACACTTTTGCCGTGCGGTAGATGTTGAAGGCAATGGCAAGGATGGATACCTGCAGGAAAACAGTGAAGCTGAAGTCCAGCTCCCTGCCCTCTCTTCACACTGTCACTTTGCACAGGGAAGACCGCACCAATTTCAAAAGGCCCTTGGTTAGATTTGAAGAACTTGAGTTAGTTGGATGTTTTGTCATGACGTGTTTATATGAGGCCTTATTGGCCAAATCATTTGAAATGGCACTGCCATCGTTCTGGGCTTGTGCCATGTAATGTGCTGCACACATTCTAATTTTACCGCGTTAGCCCTTATGTGCTTGTGCTTCCCTGCTCTGCAGAGATTAAGGATCAAGCAAATAAGGTGAATAATGAATGGAAATGATATGGAGCTGCAGCCAGGCTAGAAAAAAGTTCAGGTGTCCTGAACTATGGTGGCCAAGTGGCCTCTTCAGTACAGGACAGCAGGTGACCCACTAAGCAGGAAGAGATGTTGGGCATCTCGCCAGCGCTAGCGTAGGCGGGCAAGCACAGAGGTGAAAGTCAAGGTGAAGCTCACCACCAGCAGCAGCAAATCCAGCCAGTTCCAGGCACTCCTGAAATACTTCTTTCTCAGTTTTACTATTTGTATCACCTTCTGGATTACGAATGTAATGATAAAGAGGCAAAAGGTGATTTCACAAGAAGCCAGGAAGTAATCATAATAGGTGACATATCTGAGGAGCTTCACAGAGTAGATATGTGAGGAGGTGAAAGCCCCCCCTGTTGCAGGGAACTCTACCACCAACCTGAAAAAAAATTGGTGTCTAGTGTTAGTTACCATCCCTTGAAATCATCACAGCCCTTAATCTTATCATATTAATTATTACTATATTAATATTACCTTACCGGAACTCTTACAACTGCAAGATCTTCTTGTAAGGGTTATGCTAAGTAGCCCCTTGAAAGAGTATTACACGGCAGGGAAGGTTGAGGGGAAACAGAGAAGCTCTTTGGATACCCAAGCGATGGTGTTTGGTTAAAGTATTAAAAGAAACTGTCTTAGAAGAGCAAATGTTCACCCAGCCCTCAGTCTTTTCCCTTCACTAGCTGACCTGACCAATAACCCAGTCTTTGACCTTGCAAAAGTCTATGAAATCTATTCCAAGAGACAGCAGCAACCAGTCGTGCCGACCAGACACAGTATTACAAAGCAATGCAAAGGAAGGATCTGGTCTGCTCCCCACACTGACTGAACTTCTGCATTCGTGATGAATTGCTGACTTGCCAGCTGCTACGGGAGAAACACGGCTACATATGCCTGAGGTGACCAGCCTCTCCTCGTGCCTTTATGGATGCATCACGCCTCAGTAAATTGGATTTCACATGTAGTAAAGGTAAGAACTGACCTGATTACACAGAAGAGGTTTATGTTAGCGTTATAGGTTGAGAAGTCGATAAATACAACTCTGGTTGCTCTAGTGAGCCAGCTGTTCTGCCTGAGGAACACCAGCTTCTGCACGCTCTCCTGCTTTGATTTAGGCAGGGTGAACAAATAGCCTCCGCTGCTGTACAAGCCCATAGATCCCCAGTACCACGGGGATAACGAGGAGGCCGAGGTGTATTTCCATCTGTCAGAAACGGGAAAACAAAGCAGCTCAGGTTAAGGAAACTGGACTGCAGTAAGTGTTAACTTTTATTTTATACAGTCCTTGTTAGTGCTTGTGCTCTTCTGCACCCACAACTGACTGTTTAAAGCAAACCTTTAAATAACACTTTTCTTTCCACGAAATACACACAAGACATATGGCCTTACGACACTCCCATTTGTTTTATTTAGCTACTCAGTGCATTCACAAAACAGCGATTGCTTATGAATCTGGATTTCCCCCAACGTGGGCCAGAGAGTTTATTACCTTAAAACCTTTATAGGTAACTGGAATTATCTCTAGGTTACATAGTTCACTGTTACTGTGACATGTTCACGAGTTCTTTCATTGCATTAAATCAAGGCTAAATGAAGTGCGTGAAGCAGGCCTTTTGGCTCTGTTTACAGAACACTTTAGCATGATTCCAACCTATAAATATGTGATTTAAATTCAGGCCTCACATAGCTGAGCACTTCTCCAGAGATGTTAGTGGAGAGAGCAGCAGAAGCACACCGCAGTGGGGCTGAACTGGGCTCCCTCTCTCCAGTTCTTCCCGTCTCTCCACACTATAGATTTCCCATTCTGAATTCCTGCCTATAATGTTGGCAGAAAACCAACGGTTTATCTCAATGTAACCAAGAGAAAAGCTCACCTGATGGTATGCACGGGTGTTACTAATGGCAGAATAGTGGCATTAAGGATTTGGTTAGGTTTTCAAAAACATTTCTGTGCCGAAGTAGGATGACTTACTCAGATCCGCTCCTTAGACCAAAGTCTGACCTGTCTTCAGCTAGATAATGATATTCACTGTAACAGTCTTCTAAAAGAGTACGGAAATACGGGTAGATGGAGCAAGTGCCGGTGCGTACTTTCAGCTGGCGAATCTGGGCCACTCCTAACAGCAAATTCTCATAGTAAATACGGCTGTTGTTGTTCTTGAAGGTTAATGCCATGTTGTTATACCACTTGTCCCAGTAGAGTCCATCCAACAGGGGTCCCTCTGCAAACTACATGTACCAGTGAGGTTAAAGATTTAAAAGAAGACTTACCTACCCCTACTACCCCACTTTTTAGTGCACAAATCTCTACAGGGTTTTCAGGATACTTCATAGCTGCACAGCCTAAGCTAGAATACAAACAGTTCCCATCTATGAACTGTCTTGTAAATATATTTACAGCTTTTTGCTGTAAGTCAATTCTATTCCCTGTATAATTCTATCAGAGATGTGTAATGAGATTATTCAGGGTAAGACTAAAACATATGTCTGTCTGGAGTTTCACTGCAAAATTCTGCTGAATTCCAAACAAGTATGTGTAAACACGTTACATGTTGTTTTAACAAAATCTGTTGGTTATCTTAATCTCTGAATATCTGTTTTGGGATACATTTCTGACTGAGTTTTGAGTCAACTGAGTCTAAATGAAGAAGTATTTATTTTTGAAGGCAAGAAAAGAAAAAGCCCTCTTTTTCTGGGTGTTCCTTAGATGCAGATAAAGAGCATTCAACTTGGGGATAGTATTATTCTGAGTACCAGACAACAGGTCCCCATGGTCTGGCACCATCTGAGCATGTATTACAACCATTTCTAGTACATCAGTACACAAATTGTCTATCTAGCAAGGGCTCGCTATCTCACGGACTAGCAATAGCAGACACTGTGATAAGAGGTGTTAATTACAATTCATTCCAAATGAATTCTAATAACCAGGCATTTCCATTCTTAAGGAAGAGTAGGGTGAGAAACTTTGCCTTCTGCTGTCAGCTGGGCGATGCTGGTAAGTTTGGGAAGTCCTCCACCTAGTCAGGAAAACCGAGGCATGTGTTTTCCAACCATCACTGAAATATGATGTAATATGACAGCAAACCAGGTGAATCAAGATGCTGTTATCCTGGCTGCTCCAGTGGAAATGACGAATTTTTTTTTTAACAGCTAGAGGTTGAAAGAACTGTAAACTCCGCATCTTTGGTTTTATCGAAGCTCTTCTCAGACCAAGTCTAATCTTGAGAATATGATGCTGCAATTAATTGTCTTCCTCAACTGACTATTCACAAGTATCAGTATTCTTGTTTGTCCCCAAACATTTTTAGAACTTATTTGCCTTTCTTCAGCTGAAAACATCATCTAGAACACGGTTTTTTAGGAGAACCACGAGACTGTTGCTCAGAATTTAACACTAGGAGCTTCTTCCCTTGTCTATTTTCCGAGAAAACATCTTTTTGATGGAAGCCTTACCCTCCAGAAATCAGCTCTGCTCTCAATGCTCCTGAAACCGCTCCTGTTGTCCTCAGAGGAAGAGGAGGGCTTCACGAAGAGACGGGACATGACTTGGTTCAGGTGGTACATGTCGGTGCTCACCATGCCGAACGTCACTGGAAAGAAGGGGCAAGGAGAGGGACACTCGTGGCTGGAGAGCGGCAGATACCAACAGCTTCCCAGCCTGCTCCTCCGCTGCGGCTGCCAGAGAACGGCAGTCGAAGCCATTTCGACCCGAGTGACGCTTCTGGGTGGAAGGCAGGTGGAGTAAAGGAGTAAATACTGGAAGAGGGAAGGCGGGTGGAGTAAAGGAGTAAATACTGGAAGAGGGAAGGCGGGTGGAGTAAGGAGTAAATACTGGAAGAGGGAACAGCTCGCAGGTGACCTGTGTGTGAGCACCCGTCTGCCGTCTGGCCCGTTGGGCGACTTACGCACGCATGTAGATGAGCCCCTCCCGCAGCCTGGCTCTCGTCTCCCGTTCCTGGCTGGGGCTGACGCCGGCCCTCACGGCACCTGCTCGGGGCGGAGGGCAGTCAGGGGACCGAGCCCTCCCGGCCACTATCCTCCGCAGGGGAGGGCCGGGGCGGGCCCGGCGGGGATCGGGCCCAGGTGCC